CTCCCATTTTTCACAATACTCCCCCCCCCCTGCTCTAAGCCCTTCGCGCCGCCCCTGGTCTGAGTCAGATGTGTTCTAGTGTATTTTAATGTTTCTCTCTGCGAAGAAAAATTACCACTGAATAACCTATTAGTGTTAGGTCGCTTTTCATTCAACATACGATAGTATTGGTGTGTTTTAAAACAGAACCACAAAATTGCAAATGCCCAATTGTATATATGTATACTTGTTCTTTTCTTTTTTCTCTTTTGCCTTTGCTTATAATATATTATCCTAGGAGAAGAAACATGGTGACCAACTGAACAAGCTAGGCTATAGTTCGTTTGCCGTTATACCGGTCTTATAAGAAGAGACAAAAGCAAAAAGTAAAGAAAAAAAATATTTACGCTTGTGAACAAGTAAAATTTCAATGGGCGAAAACTTACTAGTAAAATTTTCAATGGGCAATTGCCCCTTTGCCAACCCATGGTTATGCCACTGTTCAGATAATAAAAATTTAACTTATTAAAACTGACAATAGAAATTTTCGTAGAGGGGGCTCAGCTCTTCGTAGGGGGAGCTGAGCCCCCTCTAGCCTCCTTCTGGTTACGCCACTAGTAGTGGCGTAACCAAGGTAGGGCATGAGTGGGCTTAGCCCACTCACCGAACCTGTTCGCCCACTCACCGACAACTTTTAAAAAAGCAAATTTTTTATAACAATACTTGATTGATCGGTCGATTGAACACATTACATTCTTAAACATCAATTGTCGTTTGGAATAGAGAGACGTCTATTGTGACAATAATAATTGGCAGATTTCATTTCATTAATGATTTGTTTCCTTATGATCTTACAAGTGCGCTGCACAAATGATTTCTCGATCCTAGTTGAAATAAATCAGACTCTTGATAAATATCATGAGATAACAAAGAACCCAAATGTGGTTCGATTCAATCGGTTTTTCGTTCGTCTTCCAAAAAGAAGAAAGTCGACACTTGTACATCTGATATTGATCAATACACACAAACATTTCAACCAGATGAAACAGCTTGTTGGTCGGCAGATAAAACTTCGAATTCATTACCATCATCCTCACAAGCGTCATCTTTATCATTATTATCAATATCTTCACCACCATCCTTATCAATTCAAACTTCACTACCGTCATCTGCATCATTAGTTGCATAAAAATAGTAGAATCTTGTTAAAATAAAGTCTTGTAATATTTAGATATTTTTCTTCACCTGATAAATGAATAATAATGTTTAAAATGTGTTTTTTAAGCCCCTCCCCGTCAAAAAAATTCATGTTTCGTCAGGATCGTTGGAATTGAGATAAGTACATAGTGAGATAGCCTGCCATTTGGTCTTTCACAAACGATAAAAAATTTTCTTCGGTACCTCCTTTTTCTGAGAAATTTTCAAGATTTTTGACACTCCCTATTCGAAAAACCAACGGTTTTTGAAAAAATCCATTTCTTTTTTCTCAAAGTTATAGTCGAACGACACATCTCCACCAAAAGTCAACTATAATGCAATATAAAGTCAAATATTTTTTTTGTTTCAAAGAGCATCAAAAACTGTAGTGCCTATGAGAGCCCTTTTTTGATAAAGCTTTGCTATTTTTATATTGATAAGTGGTTTTATTATACAAGCGCCATTTTTTGAGAAGTTTTTTAGTGATTGAACTTGTGAAGGCTGTTTTTCTTCATAAAGATAAGAATTTTAAAAAAGGGTCCTCATAGGCACTGCATCCTGACATGTTCTTTCATATGAAAAAACAATTAACCATATTGATGGAACACCCATAGAGAGCTTTTGGAGACGAGATAAGCTATTTTTCGACCCTTGTTTGACTCGTATCTACGTCAGACATCAAGATAGGAGGTTGGAAATTTTACCATAGATGTACTTTTACACCCCCAACATATCCTCGAAGTTTCATGCTATCTCGATGTTCGGGAGCTGAGATCGAATTTTGAGGGAGCTTAAGGTAAATGAACTATTACATCTTTGTTATACGAAAAAGAAACGTACTTCTGCATCTTAGATAACCTTTCGAAAACCG